TCTTTCTGCTCTACTTCACCTGTAATCCTTACCCATTTTAGTTACTGTGCCGCTAAAGGAGACTGAATTAGGTTTTCAGCTCAAACATCTATAATCAGAGGAGATACTCCTTTTTCCATTTCCAGAGTCCTACCAACCGAATGCCAGCGGTGGCTGAAATTTGTTGCTGGTTCAGCAAGATCTAGGACTGTCCATCACTAGCAAAGTTATAGAAACTGGCCAGCAGCGACCCAGATCACTCGAGTAATCACCTTCTAGATAGCAAAGGAAGCACTGCCTACAGTGATGTGGTGGTGACGTCTGAAGAGCAGAAGCTCGTCATAATAGGCTCATAACAACAGCCCAAAGGAGTGTCTTAAATGCGGGGGAGAGAGAGTGCAGTGTGATCAGGGAAGGACTTTGGGGCAGAGGTTCAGAGACCCACTCAGCAGAATGAATCAGAATGGCCCTGAAATGCAGCAGGGCTGGCTTACCAAACCTGGAAGGAAGGGAGTGAAGTAATATACACCACCAGCTAAAGAGGACTTTAAGACTATGGGTTTATCCACACTTGGACTTTGCCCTGTGCTTTCCAGGCGCAGGTCTCCACTTTAAAGCTCTCCCCTAGTGCTCTTTTTTCACCCTGGAAACCAGCTCATTAAAGCTGAAACACAACAAATGACAATTCAGATTTTCCACAGATTGCTGTTTGCTCCAATTCAGCAGTAAAGAGTGGGATTTTGTGCAGAAAGCTCAAAAAGAAAAAAGAAAAAAGAAGAGTGTTCTGACATGGAGGTTTAAAGCGTGGACCAAGCCGGGAAAGTACGGAGGAAAAGTAAGTGTGGAGAAGCCCGAGCTGATTCACTGATCAGAGCATGGAGGGTCTGTCAATTACCCTGGCACTCCAGCAGATGACATCATCACTCCTGCCCTGAAAAAAATCCCAGAGCTGTGCTCCCTGCCACTATTACATGCTGATTAGCTGAGGAAACAAGTTGCAAAACGTTGTTTAGTGCTGAGAAAATATTAAATTCCTGCAAGATATATAGTGGTACCTCGGGTTACAGACGTTTCAGGTTACAGACTCCGCTAACCCAGAAATAGTACCTCGGGTTAAGAACTTTGCTTCAGGATGAGAACAGAAATTGTGCCCCGGTGGCGCGGCGGCAGTAGGTGGCCCCATTAGCTAAAGTGGTGCTTCAGGTTAAGAACAGTTTCAGGTTAAGAATGGACCTCCGGAACGAATTAAGTACTTAACCCGAGGTACCACTGTACACAACCCTTAAGGAAAGACACCTAGAACGTATTAAACAAGGTAGAAACAAATTTATTGTGCAAAATATTGACCAAATAACATGGTAGCCTTAGAAAATGATTATCTGTGTTTTATTTGTCTTGTGAATGTGCATAGAAAACCTATAACCTGTACCCAAAAGCTAGATTTGGATTTTACTTTTTTCCCCTGTTTCCAATAATAATAATAATACCTTTATTGTCAATGTACAACCTGTGTACAATGAAATTAACTGAGCCTCCCTCCCCCCACCCAAACACTCAGTCTCATTGCATTCTGTGTGCTTGTCGCTGTTTCCACACAGCTTCTTATTCAAACCACCAGTTTCTCATCTGGAAACCTGCTGCTTGATGAAGACCACTCTAGTAAAGGTTTCTTCCTGGCTACAAAATTTTACTTACTCAGTCCAATTCTACCACAAAGAATTCCCCAAACTGCAAATCCTGGCCGCAAATGCATATTCCCAAGCCTCAGCCATGAATTCTAATTCTTCTTCTTTGGCGATCACTCGTAGCCAAGTAAAATTGTCTTTCATAAAAGCCTAGTACCAGCTGCTTACCTGTGAGTCAGGTCAAGAAACCTAAGAAAGTAGCACCCTACTAATAGTTCCTTTAAATGAAAAAAGATACAGCACAGGCTGTAGCCTGGGTAGCAATAGCTGCTTACGTAGCAAAAACGCCAAGGCCTTTGAAAGGCACTAGTGGTCAGAGGGGAAATCTCAACAACACTTCTGAGCCGTGGAGGAAAACTATGCAGCTCCAGAATTTGTCTAACCGACCCCTGGGGAATTTTCTTAACAGACCCCAAGACAGAAGCGGAGGCTATTATAGATTCTGTTAGCTAAACTGCACACTTGGGGTGAGGAAGCCTATTCACCCAAAGGACTGCATTGCCTCATGGACAACTTTCTGGTGGCCACATGCTAATGGTGGGCTGGTCCAACAGATTTGATTGGTCTGAAAGTTGGTCAACCTACCAATGCAAATGTAGTCTATTGTACAATAGACTACATTCCAGCTATGCAAAGAACAGGGTTTCTGCACTACTACCATCCCATCACTGCATTCAGGAAAGCAAGAGGCACTGCCACCAATCAAAGGCACATTCTAGCCAGGCAAAAGCACCTGAAGGGCAGGTAAGAAATCTAGTTTATCATCAACACGAATATTTGGAGAGCAGGAAATTGATGTTCAGTGTCGAGCGATGGGTATTCAGCACAGGCTTGGGGCTACTTTTGAGGGAGAGCTTAGTTATTACAAGAAATAGGAAATTGTGGAAATTTTGTGATGGAAGCAAATGGGGTGGGGAGGGAGGTGAAGAGCGGGTTGTTGTGCACCAGAGAAGAGAATGCATGTTTTCTCCCTATATAGCTCACTATCAACAGAGGTGGTACAGTAAGCTGAGTGTGAGATATGCCATTGCTGTAAGTACAGGAATAAAGGAAGTTGCCCTATACCAAGTCAGGTTATTTGTCCAGCTAGCTCCAGCTCGGACTAGCTTATTCTGGAAATCCTTGTCTTTGTGAAAGGATTCTGTGGAACTGTAACAACCCTTCATGTGGATCATTGGACTCTAAGAACAGGCAGGTGGAATAGATACTTATACATGTATGGACATTATGCATGAACTGACTAGAGAATGAACTCTTCCACTGGGTCTGCTGCTTTTTTCATTGAACTTTATGAGACTTCCATTGAAATCTACAATTTGATACAATGAATAGTATACAGTGGTACCTCAGGTTACATACGCTTCAGGTTACAGACTCCACTAACCCAGAAATAGTACCTTGGGTTAAGAACTTTGCTTGAGGATGAGAACAGAAATCGTGCTGCGGCGGCACGGCAGCAGCGGGAGGCCCCATTAGCTAAAGTGGTCTTCAGGTTAAGAACTGTTTCAGGTTAAGAACGGACCTCCGGAACGAATTAAGTACGTAACCAGAGGTACCACTGTACCTTATTTATTCAAAAGTACAGCCGGTTACGTCTTGTGTGTTTATTGAGTATTTTTCACGTAGCCATAGGTTTGTTGTTGTTGTTTATCTGCTCTGACTGACATCAGCTTTCCAGGGTCTTGGGCAGAAGCTCAGTCAGTAGAGCATGAGACTCTTCATTTCAGGGCTGTGAGTTCAAGCCCCACATTGGGCAAAAGATTCCTGCATTTGCAGGGAGGTTGGCTAGATGACCCTCGTGGTCCCTTCCAACTCTATGATTCTGTGATTTGTTGCCGGATCCCTTTATGTGCAGATGACAGGGATCAAACCTGGGCCTTCTGCACACTCATAATGTGCTCTGCCACTAATCCATGCAGCCAGTCTGTGCCTCTTCTCAATTCCCAGCAGGGGAGGCTGCTCTGCACATGCTTAGAGGTATTCAAAATCTTTCCACTTTCTCTATTGATTCACTGACTGATTTTGGGCTAACCACTTAACCCTGCTCTTTCGTGTTCCAGTGAAGCAGTGACCTCTAACTTCTATAAAGCACACTTACACATCATTCCTTAAGGATAGCAACAACCCACCCTTCACCCTTAGGTTCCAGGGCAGGTTACAATTAAAACTTAAAAACAATTTGAAACAACTTACGGTCACAGAAATAAGGTGGGTCTGCTTCCAGGGACAGTTCAATGTGTGGGATATGACCTATAAAGCCCTACCCAGCTGAGGTCCAAGCTATCTGCTGCTTCAGCTGCTTAAGCAACAAGGTCTAAGAGCGCTCTCATGTTGAGTCATCAGTGGGAGTGATGGGAGGCAAAGCTCGTTCCATCAGCTCTGCTGAAAGACAAGCTCCCCCAGGCACCTCCTAGTCTTGAATGACGCCAGCTAGTCATTTTAAGAACTGGTGCCTGAGTTTGATTCCCTGCCCCCTTCCTTCCACATCCTTTTTTCCTTGTGTGGCATAGCATATTCTTTTTAAGATTGTAAGCCTGCAAGGCAGCGTCGAGACAGAGGCTGTCTTGTTTTAATGGATAATATATAAGCCACTCTGGGAGCCTGGCTGGGTTTTGAGATCTTCGGGAGAGGCCCTTCTCTTGGTCCCATCACCCTCCAGGACAAACTTCGTAGGGACACAGAAGAGTGTCTTCCCAGTGGCTGCTCCCAGACCTTGAAACTCCTCACTCCCCACAAGAAAAGGTGGTGCATAGTATGATGATGATGATGATGATGATGATGTTGGACTAGGTGACCCTTGGTGTCCTTTCCAACTCTACAATTCTATAATTCTAAGAAGAAAGAAGGAACTGGTGGGGGAGTGAAGCACCATGAGGAGAGCACAGGCGTTGGACAGGTGAGGGAAGAACAATTCTAGAAGCACTGAAACCAGGTGAGTATAACCCATGAAGTTCCTAGCTTGTGGGTGGCTACACGTCTAGTTACTGAAGCATTTCAGAACCTAAGAAACACAAGAAACTATGAAATATTGCTCAAAACCAACCCCATTGCTTCTCTGCATCTATTTTCGAAGACACAATAGTCATGAAGTCCTACTGCAAACATGCAGACAGCAAGTTGTTGATCCTGTTTTCTGGAAAAGCACCCTAGGTTCAAGCATGAGGCTGAGCCAAGCACTTGAGTCTACCTGATCAATGAGCTGGAAAATTGAATCAGCATATTTCCAGAATGCTGGAGTACTAGTATTAGCATGTACTTGACCTAAAACAAAACAAAACAAAACAAAACGTCACTTTGACAAAACACGGCGCAGCACACAAAACATGGAATCAGGTGTCAACAGAAGGCTAAATTCAGCTGTTATAAATACTAAGGATAGGAGAAAACAATGGGGATGAGATATTGATTCCAGTGGGTTCTGATGGGATCCAAGACTCAAATGTACTGTCTCTTCTTACGAGTTCTAGTAATCTGTTTCAGAATAACCAAAGCAGGACAGAAAGGTAACCCCAGGCAGAAGTACCAAGCCACCCCTTTAATCTGGGCCTGAAACCAGTCAGAATAAATGCCCAGGGCCACAGTGAAGGTGGCTAGCAGATAAACGATCAGTCCATATATCATGTGGACGAGCCGGAGGCGACCCACGGACGATATTCTCAGCAGCCGAGGAAAGCGAAGGCAGAATCCACACAAGACCTGCCCACAAGCTGCCAGGAGAGTCAGGAGGCCCAGAACACTGTGCCAGGAGACCAGGTGTGGAAGCTCACTCCGGTTCTTGCTGGAGACAATGAAGGCCAAGCCCAGTGTGGCAGCCACAAGGGCCAGCGTCTGGGCAGTCCAGTGCAGCTGCACTTTCGTTTTGTGGGAGCAGGAGCAGAAGAGGAGGCCCTCTGGCGAGAAGATCAGGATGGCTTCCGTCAGGCATAGGCAGAACTGGGAATACAAGAACCCATTAGCAACCTAGCAGTGGAGCCCGAGTCACCTTCCCAATCAAATAATCTTCAAAACAACAAGCACAGAAGCACAGCCAAAGCTTTGGAACCAGTTATGTACTTAGTCATAGCAGGCAGTAAGCCTCTATGGTACCACTTCAGACTGCAGATTGGCTGGTTTTTTAGTTAAAAGTGGAGCTATACCCTACACCTTTCATTCATTCACCACTCAGGGCAGCCAAGTGTCAAATAATGCATGCTTGCAATGCTCCAATAGTTAGTAAACTCCCTGTACACTTATGACTAGCAGTTCAGGGGAAAGTATTCAGCCCAGCCTTCTCCCCTGCATGTTGTTTTTCCTATATCCAGGTATGGGTGTTGATGATGGGGAGTGTTGTTCATTTTTCAAGAGCATTCAGAACACATTTCTCATTTGCAACCTGAATTGACACGGTCCGGTGTGGCAGGGGGAGCTCTTCTGCCAGGTACATAAACGGGTCTCATGAGCTGATGTTATCTAAGGTGGCTTATAACATACCAAGAAGAGTTGCACAGGGTTGGCATTGGGAGTTAGCACCACTGCGCATCTGCTGACATCCTTGTGGAGAGGAATGCTGCTGACCCTGAAGTTTCCTGGCGCAGGTGGTTCTCCTCCTCCTCGCTGTCCCTGCTGGTTCACCTACTAGCAACATCCTTCTCTTGCTATGCATCCTCCCTTGGGGTGGTTGTACAGATTGGGTCCAAAGGGAGGGGCTAAGTAAATGGGCAGGACTGGCAGTGACCAGGAGGAGGTGGGCTCTCCAAGGGCATGCTCCCATTGGCACTCCAAAGCCTGGTGCTAGTTCTGAACTTGCTGGACCATTTTGGGCTCCGCTACTACTTCACCTATTAGGCCTAATAAATAATAATAATAATAATAATAATAATAATAATAATAATAATAATAATAATAATAATGGATCTGAGGATTGGTCAAGATGCCAAGTCTGGCATGTATTGGCTGCATCCTTTTTAAAGAAAACATATGGTCAACCTACCATTGAAACTACCTATCTGTTGCTATTTGCACAGTGGCCCTGCAGTGGAATAAGTCATTTTCCTCCAGCAGAGGAAGAACAGAGAAATGAGATGTACATCTATAGTGTATGCTTAAAAGCAGTTTTAATTTGGATTAACTATCACAGCTCCCTGAACACTGGGAAGTACAGCTTTATGGCAACAGCTCTGTAAAGGCATTGCTAGCACATAACATTAATCCTTTGCATATGCACTCACAGCACTGTCTACAGTCATGGTGGGCTTTCAGCCATGCTCCTCTACATGCCTGAATTAGATGGCCGGGGGATCTGCATGAAGTGTGCAGCCCTACACATCTAGCTTTGCTCTTGAGATTTGTGGGCATCCCACAGGGTGGGGAAAGATACCAGTTTTTCCCCAGGACACATTCTCTTTACTTCTTGGTATGCACTTTAGTGCTGAATCAAAAGAACAGGTCACTGTGATACTGACCTGCCTTACCAATCCACAGCTTCTTTAAAAAGCTGCATAACGTAAGACATTGTGGCCTTTATTTGAAATCCAAACGTTATTGGCTCCTGGCTGAGAGCAAGATGTTCACAGAGAAGCTTTGATAGAGGGCAGCACTTTCATTCTTGGCAATGATAGGCATATTTGACTCTTCAGATGCAGCATAACTGCTGAAGGAAGATTCAAGGGGCCAAGCTAGGAGGTGCCATTTTGCAACAAAAGAAAAGTTATTTCTTGCAAGTGCGTGCAACAGACAAGCTGCCAAGACTCTAGATGGTTCCAGTCTGGGGTTTATTTATGAGACCATTTTAATCCCATCTTTCAGTTCCAAAGAAACCTCCAAGGTGGCTTGTAAAAAAATAATGCACAAATTAAACACAATAATTTACTAGAATATAGTTCAGTATTATGAGTACAGAGACTATCTGCTAGGGAAATGGACTGTGCAATTTTAGGTTATGAACAGCTAATCACTTTTTCAGGAGAGTGAGAGGAGTTTCCGTCTAGTGGTGTCACCACTTGTACATATGTAATGCTGTGGGAAAGGGGAAGAAAATCTTTGGCAGGCAATTTGCTCCTTTTGTCAGAGGAGAGGCATCTCTGGAGATGTCCCCTCTTTAGCAGTAGAAGGCACATGCATATTATTATTATTATTATTAAAAAATATTGAAATAGCATACAGAAAGCTTTGCAGAGTTTTTTCTTTCTTAAAAGAAGCACAAACACCAATCCGCTACAGCAGATAAAAAGAATAGGATAGGACAAAAAGAAATGTTATTGCAAGAACAATAACCTCCCCAACTTACCTTTATTCTGCTTGATAGCTTGACAGCTCAACACAATGCTGTAACATAATCGTTTACTTAGCACATACCCAAGAAGCACATGAAGGGGGAAAGTGACTCAAGGTCAGAAGTGAAAAGGCTTAGGGGGTTGGGGTGAAGTGACAAGGGGAATGATGCTGGCCATAATATGTCATTGTAAAAGTGTGGGGGGAAACCACAAGGATGGGGAGCATGTAGCCTCCCAATAGTCAGCAGGGCCACTGGTCAGGGACGATGGAAGTTTAAGTCCAGCAACATCTGGAGGGTCAAAGATTCCCCATCTCCGCCTTAAAGAAAACCCCACTAAGCATGTGTAAGAGAGGGAAGCATGTGGTCCTATTGGAGCCATTATCGCAAACATGCTTGAAATATAGCCACAACGAAAACACATGTCCATTTAGAAGTGCTGGCAGAGCTTCTGGAGAGCATTTTGGATTTTAGCAAGCACATCCCAAGGCACTGCAAATACAGGTTTATCTGAAAGGCTCACTACAGGGAGAAATTAATGTGTGTATTGTCAGCTGCGAAAGGAGGACAGAAGCCCTTCCACCTCTCTAAAAGATTAGTGTGTGTACATATCTCTAGGCTTTCTGCTATATTCTCCCTAGGCAAAAACAGACAACATTCCTCAGATGTACTGAATAAGCAGGAAGCAACTTACTGCTATTGACATGAACGCAGGGTGCCAGGAAAACAAACCTATAAGAAAGAGAGAAAATGCTTAGCCAAAACTGTGTTCCAGTCCAAAAACAAACATGACTTCAACAACAGATTTGATTGCAGCAGCCCCTTCAAGCTAGGAAGTCTGATCTATCATAACCACAATCCATGTATATAGCTCATCACTGCAAGTTTTCCAAACATATGGCATGTGGAAGGAACTCTCGTTAATGCTTCTTGCAAGAGTTTCAGATGAGGCGGTGTTTGCCATAGCTTGGACCAACCTGATCTGGACTTATCAGACTCACCTCAATAAAAAGTCAGTACCTGTAGCAGCAAACAAACTTTCCTGATAGGCAGCTTGCCCACGAGGCCACTGCTAATGCTCTCCCCCTGCTATAAGCAACCACAAGGGAACACAAAATGAACTTTTAATTTGTGCGGGCCTAGCCAGAACCCTGTATCTGTGGACTGTGTCCCTTGAAGCATCCTTTGCAACAGTCAGGGATTCTATGGCAGAAGTGGAGGGCTTCTTAAAAAGTCCAGTGAGCATACAAAGACTTCTCCAACCATACGAAACTTTAGAACTTCTGCTCTATAGTAGGTGGATTTTCCCCACATGTTCCTGTTCTATTAAGACTAGGGTTAGAAAGAAGATGTTCTAATTCAAAAGTTGGAAGGAGGAAAAGACTTTTCCCAATGAGCAGGCCTCAGCTATTCCTTTCTAGTTCAGGAGAAACAAGGAGTGATATTCGACTAAGTTTTACCCAGAGTAAACCCACTGAAATTAATAAACATGGCTAAGTTAGGTCCATTGATTGTAACAGCAGTGCTCTGAATAAAAAACTTAGCTGAATACCACCCAGTCCTCCTAAGATACAGCATGAACCACTCAAACTCAGTAGGAATCAGATTGTAATTGCATATTAATTGCCTTGTTGATTTTAGTGGAAGACTTATGCATGTGCTTAATTCCAATGGAAGCTCTCCATTTAAAAGTGCTTAGCTGTGGTTGACTCATGCCCAGTTATTAAAAGCATGTATAAAAAGCTCAAACCTAAAAAAAATGCCAAACTATGTTAACACAGACAGACACAATAGGACTGCCGGATCAAAATTTCAAAAACAAGAGCCTGCAGAGATCTGGTGTGTCTGCCCTATAAAGTTCACTGAAGCTGCTGGATTCTGAAATAAGAAACATCCATTATGTACTATAGAGCTGTCATGTTCTAAAATAAGACTTCCAGCAGCCAGAACGGAAGATAAAAAACCATTCCAGACTTCACTAGAAAGGACTCGCAAAAACACCCACACTGGCTATTAATAAATTACAAAAGGCAGCTATAGCATTTAAATGATTGCTGAAAACTAGGCAGAATATAATGCTATGTTAAAATATATGGGAACAAGCTTGAGTAGCTGTACTGCACTATGCAAATGGGCCAGACAGAGTAGCAAGCTGGGAAATTATGCCCAGAATTTTGGCTTCCCATTGAAGTAAATGGGACTGAATTGCTCAGTTAAAAGCTTAAGTCCAATACCTTTCACAAGGTTACAGTCATGGATTTTAGAGAGCCAGAACATGGATATCCTCGCTCTCTTACAATACAAAGCCCCAACTAGCTGTTGTATCCACCTCAAAATATTATGAACTCCTGTATTTCCATGTAGGAAAAGACATGTGTATATTGTCATATGAAACAGTTAAGCACATACCTTTTCCATGTGTGTATACGAGCCACTGTGATGTAGTGGTTGGAGTGCTGGACTAAGACCTGGGAGACTGGGGTTCTAGCCCCAGTCACTCAGTCATGAAGCTCACTGGATGACCTTGGGCCAGTCACTGTATGTCAGTGTAACCAACCAGGGTTGCTGCAAGGTTAACATGGAGAGTCATGTATGCCACCTTGAGCTCCTTGGGAGAAAGATGGAGCATTCAGAGGCCATAAATTAAGGTTATCAGATTCCCCCAATGAATCCAGAGACACTTTTCAACTTCCTACTAAATAGATGGATTTTGTCAGGGGACTGATTTGTAAATCTGGGGACTGTCCCCAGGAAACGGGGATGTCTGGTAACCTCACCAGAAATGGCTTCAGCTTAGCACAGGCACACAATAATCAGTGAAAAGATGTATGTATGTATCTGATGTGTGTATCTGAAGAAGTGTGCATGCACACGAAAGCTCATACCAAGAACTAATTTAGTTGGTCTTTAAGGTGCTACTGGAAGGAATTTTTTTGCAGTGAAAAGATGCACACTGTTGCTGCACATGCAAATCAATATGGGGGCTGCACAATTTTACATACACCAAACTGGTTTTTTATATTATTATTATATAGGTTAATAACATTTGAAGTAGCACAAAGTGGCTTATACAAAGGTGTAAGATCTTTAATCCAACAGTTTTTGAGCTCATTGCAGAAAGTGACAGGGATATCTTGAAGCAAGCTAGGTTGGGATTACTGTTTCAGGTGAACTACTTAGACAATGCTCCATTTAGAATTGCCTGTGCATTATTCAAATGTGGATGCAGTATGGAGAATAATTGTGTCTGTGGGTTGGCTGTCCATTCACAAGTGTGAAACTGCAACTGGAGCAAGGACATCTGGTTAAACTGCTACTACAGCCAAGCCAATGCTGTGTGCACATTTGCTTAATGCTGTTTCGGTGGTGATAGTGGCAGGTCTCCTGCCTGTGTGTGTAGTCGCCTTGTTAACATCCCTTCAACCACCCTGTCACATCACTTGCTGTCCGCTCATTTTTACATCAATCATCGACCTCTCCTTCTTGCAAAGGTCGTAGAATCCCTCGTGTGTGTAGCCTGGAAAGGTAAGGGGAACCTAAAGCTTTCAACTCTGCTAAAGCCAAGCCCATTACTTTCAGTGGGTCGACTCAGAGCAGGCCTAACCATGGAGAAAACGCAGGGAGCAGAAGCTCTAGCGCAAGAGCCACTTAACCTTGCGAAAGCGAGCCATCGGGTCCAGCAACTGGGTACCCTAAAAACGTGGCCGTGGCGCACGTTTTCCAAGGCGCATCCTGGGCAAGGAGAGGAACCGGTGCCCTCCCCCCCCTCTTCGTCCCGTTACTTTGCCTTGGGAATGGAAGCGGGAGGGAGAGTCAACTCACTGGTGCCGGGCCTGGAGAGCAGCAGCAGCAGCGCGGTGGTGCCCAGCGCGGCGAGGTGCGCCAGGACCCCGCAGCCCCGCCGCAGCCAGCGCAGGGCGCGCCGCTCCGCGCTCGCCGGGGCGCCTAACATTGCAGAACGCTTCCGCCTTGGGCTGTGGTTACAGGCGGGGAAAGGAGCGGGCAGGGTGCGGCTTGCTGCAGGTGGCGACGCACACCTGTCGGGGAGGGAGGCGGAGCCCAGGCCACGGGGCGGGTCTCTCGGGGGGAGCCGAAAGGGAATCGCGGAAAGGGCCACGGTGGGCGCGGCGTGACCACTTGGGCTCACCCGTTTCGCCTTGAGGGCAGGCAGCAGAGGTGGCTCCGTCCTGGGGCAGGCTTCGTCTCTCCCCACCCGCAACCCATCTCCACCCCCGCCCCAATAGTAGTAATAATAATAATAATAATAATAATAATAATAATAATAATAATAATAATTTATTTATACCCCGCCTATCTGGCTGGGTTTCCCCAGCCACTCTGGGCGGCTTCCAACAAAACACTAAAATACAATAACCTATTAAACATTAAAAGCTTCCCTAAACAGGGCTGCCTTCAGATGTCTTCTAAAAGTTTGGTAGTTATTTTTCTCTTTGACATCTGGTGGGAGGGTGTTCCACAGGGAGGGCGCCACTACTGAGAATGCCCTCTGCCTGGTTCCCTGTAATTTGGCTTCTCGCAGCGAGGGAACCGCCAGAAGGCCTTCGGCGCTGGACCTCGGTGTCCTGGCAGAATGATGGAGGTGGAGACAGAGGCCCCAAAGGAGAAAGGCTTCTAAGGGAAAGGGTGTCGTTTTCAAGTAGGGTGGAAATTCTGCAATTTCTCACCTTAGGAAGGATAGAGTTGGAAGGATACTAGTCCAACCCCCTGCGATGCAAGAGTCCCAGCTAAAGCATTCTTGGAAGATAGCCATCCAACCTCTGCTTAAAAACCTCCAAGGAAGGACTCTCTGCACCTTCCGGGAGAGTCCAGTCCACTGTTAAACAGCTCTTACCGTCAGAAAGTTCTTCCTAGTGTAGCTATGCAACCATGGGGAGAAAGGGGACTCTGCTAATGTACTGCCCTATATGTGTGGTTGTTTCCAGAGGACCCTGAGCATTCAAACCTGATTTGCTTGCTAGGTGGGGCAGGCGATATTTAATGAGCATCTATTCCGATTTGTTTGTGGGGAGGTTAGACAAAATTACAACAAGCAAATGTTGTCCCATACTTTCCAGTGCATTCTCCCATTACCAAAAGTTCAATTTTGGGGGAAGCGGGTTTCCATTCTGTAGATACCGGAGAACTAAGAGCACTATTGTGGGATCAGTGCCGCTTATGCACATGGGTTTTTCACACTGCCCAAGTGAGATTGCCATTATAAAAATGCCAGCCTAGCAGGATTTCCTTTTGTACAGAAATTTTGTTAAATAGAAATAGCCTGTTACAACTGTTCCACAGTGTTCCACCTGCTGTTCCACAGCGCGGGTGGTGCTGTGGTGTAAACCACTGAGCTTTGGGCATGCCGATCAGAAGGTTGGCAGTTCGAATCCCCGCGATGGGGTGAGCTCCCATTGTTTGGTCCCAGCTCCTGCCAACCTAGCAGTTTGAAAGCACACAAAAAAGTGCAAGTAGATAAATAGGTACCATTCCAGCGGGAAAGTAAACGGCGTTTCTGTGCGCTGCTCTGGTTTTGTCAGAAGTGGCTTAGTCATGCTGGCCACATGACCCGGAAAAACTGTCTGTGGACAAACGTTGGCTTCCTCGGCCAATAAAGCGAGATAAGCGCTGCAACCCCAGAGTCATTCGTGACTGGGCTTAATTGTTAGGGGTCCTTTACCGTTATCTTTACAACTGCCCTTACTGCTGGTGTGGGAGCTCGTAGGTACTTTTTGAAGCATGAGGGCAGATTCTAATGTGTGTGGTGAAGATATAACAACACAAGAGGTATTGCACAAAACCTCTTTATCAGAATTGCAGTATAACTGGGTATCGGTCCTGTGCAAGACCTCTGTATTAATGAAAAACAACACTGATGTTGCCCTTCCTGTTCAGCTCCTCCAAAGCACAAGTCTCAGTTTCCCTCATGGCAATACATGAGAACTAGGGATTGGTAATGTTTCTCCTGATGCACTGTGTGTGTGTGTGTGTGTGTGTGTTTAAGGTGCATGCAAGCAAGTACAGATTCATATGCATGCATGTGGTGGAAGGAAAGAGAGTAGTGATTGAGGGAGCAGTCAGGAAACATTGCACAGAAACAGGTCATCAAGGACCGCACACTGCTGTGGGAGAGGCAGCGAAATACCTTTGAAAAATCTAAGGTTAAAAAAAGGGGGTGGCCATGTACCGACAGGGCATAGAAAAATTGAATCTTAATGACACATTAGTGACATAAAGTCTCTGCCAGGAAGCTCCAGGCCTCAAATGGCACAAGTCTATGGTAAGAACAGCCAATCTGCACTTTCAAATACAACAGGTACCAGATACACCTGCAGTCTTAGCAGTTGTGAATGGCACAAATAAATTTAAATGGCTGGATTTTATTCACAACAAATACTGAAGCACAAGTCTAATTCTTTGCTGGTCGCCATTTTCATGTTTATTGCAGAAGTAGCCATTTAAACACGTGCCGTTTGCAATTGTCAACCCCACAGGTGTATTTTGCAGTTTAAACAAGGCTTGTACCAGAATTCAAAATGCAAATTGTGAACCAGCTTTAAAGCCACAGCAGTGGAAATGCACAAAGGCAGTATAAGAGGCCTGCTTCACACAACCAATGGGTGCATTGTGTGGGTCTGGGGCAGTTTGTCAAGCAATGGAGGCTGCAACGCTTGGAATATTTAGGAATAAAAATGCATGGGATCTGGCTGAAAGCATCTTGTTATTTTACCCTCCATACTCTGGGGAGAATACAGACAGTAAGACATCAATGCATGGATGTAGGCCTGAAGTCCCCAACCTGATGCACATATGCACCACAGCACCTTCAGCCACTTCCCTTGTGACCCACTCAGCCCCCTTCTCAATTTCATTTTTAAAGTCGAGCTGTTTTTGTTTGGGGTGATTGTCTTTTCTTGCGGAGAGGCACGATGGCTGCTTTTAAAAACTGTTTCATTTGTTTGGGGGTAGCTGAGCATCACCAGTCTTTCTTCAATGAAATGGGTGTTTTGTGGTACCCACAACAGTTTCTTAGATTTCAAAATGCATTCCCTGGGCCCAGAAAAGGTTGCCGCCTCCTCTGATGAGGCTTCATATATCTTGCCCAACCAGATGGTGAGAATTGTCTAACACTTCTGCACCTGATTAAGAGAAACAGGAGACTGGTCTGGTTCTTCTAACCACTTAGCAAGGGAATACAGATGGGCAGCTTCCCAAGTGCTCATATGCACAGATACATTAAGTTGTCACTTGGTTAACTGGCCATCTGTCCTGTCCTGCCAAGTGGAGAATCTTACCACACTTTTGCACCTAATCAGAAATCCTGTGGCCCTCCAGGTGTTGCTGAAGAACTACAACTCCAATCATCTGTGACCCTTGGGCCATGCTGACTGGACCGATAAGTTGCTGTAGTCCCAACTATTCTGTGACACATCTCACCTCACCATCTTTGGGGTGGGAGCAAAATGGCTGCTTGGCCACAGTGATAGCCCCATATCTCTTGACCATACCCCTATGGCATTCAGCAGTGCCCCACAATGGCCAGACACCGATTGAAAAGCTGTGGAAGAGCTCTTCTTTGTCAGGTGACACTCAAATCTCTGATTCATCATCTCACATCACTTCAGAAGGCATAAAATGGCATCCAGCAGCAGCCAGAACCAAGAATGTAGTGAAGGTGCTTCTGTAATACCCTCAATGAGTTCTTTGGGCCTTGCATGTTTTTCCCGGTGTGTGTGTGTTTTACACCTCAGGATTATTACCAGCAGCAATGTGGGTGTCTTTTCCCCTCAGGGAGGAAGAGGAGGCACATGAGAGGATGGCTGTTCTCTCAGAATCAGCCCAATGAGGCCTAAAAAAGGCTATGTACACACTGTACTTCCCTTCCCTTCCCACCCCCAAAAGAATCATGAGAACTAGTTTGTTAATGGTGCTGGGAATTGTAGCTCTGCAAAGGGTAAACTACAGTTCCCAGGATTCTTTGCAGAGAAATGTGCTTTTCATGTATGGTGTGTTTGTAGCCTAAGTGTAGTTTAAAATGTGCCAACTGTACCAACGACAAATGGAAGATAAATATTTAGGAGGGGGGTACCTGCCACCTAATATGAGCATTAGAAGAAGCCCCTTGTGTTGGTGAAGAGGATGGATGTTGCTGTAATAAGTGGCTCTGGGCTTCACACATTTTCCATCCTTAATAAACAGCCAACGCCCTGCCTGAGAAACCAGCATCTCTCCTTTAACCTCCACTGCAAAATTAATTATTGCTGTAATTGCACTATAGGCACCAGCCGCCTTGAGCGGTGAAATGGTGAAATATCAGGATACAAATCTAACTAATAAAATACAGTGGTATCTTGGGTTACAAACGCTTTAGGTTACAAACTCTGCTAACCCGGAAGTAGTTACCTCAGGTTGCGAACTTTGCTCCAGGGTGAGAACAGAAATTGCGCGCCAGTGGTGCGGCTGCAGCAGAAGGCCCCATTAGCAAAAGTGCACCTCAGGTTAAGAACGGTTTCAGGTTAAGAACGGACCTCCGGAACGAATTAAGTTCGTAACCCGAGGTACCACTGTACTAGGAGAACCCCTTTGAAGGCTAAGCGGGAGAACAGAAGCTGTATTTTCATCCTTTAAAGTCCCGACATGCTGTCTGAAGACATTCTAGTACTTTGCTAAGACATCTGCTTCTCTCTTCTCTAGTCCTAAGAGAAGGAGTGGGGAGCTTTATTTGGCTTGAGGGACACATCCTCTCCTAGGTATTAATCTGGTCAGCGGTGCCCTGCGCAAGGCCAAAATCCCCCCTCCCCCGCCTTCCGTTCTGCTTGCTATGTCACAGTTGTGATGCCCTGTGACTCCCCCTTGGCTTCAGCGCCCAGCATGACAGAACCAGCTGTGCTGCCCTAAATCCACCTCTGAGG